CCTACACCCACCACTGCTGTCATCTTTTTTGTAGTTGACAGACAAATGAAAAATCTCAAGTACATCTTTACTATGTTTCTTAGCCATTTTAATTTCTTATTCAAGTCTTTTTTGCCCATTTTTAGAATTGATGGGTTTTCTACCCTTACATTTGTGTAAACCCTTCATAAATTATGGAAATTAGCCCTGTATGTAACATACTTTATCTTTTATCTAGTAGTGAATCTATGCTTTGTGTTAAAATGATTTTAATTTTTATGCAATCATATTTCTTTTGTGTGTTCTGGAATTTTGTGTCATGCTTAGAGAATCTTTCACTATTCTAAGATTTTAAAAATATTCACCCATTGAATTCTATACTTGAGTGATAAAACTTTTTACAATTAAGTCTTTGATTCATGTTGAATTTACTTTGGTTTTTGGATCAAAGGAGGGATCTAGTGTTTTTGCTTTTTGTTTTTTGTTTTTTGTTTTTAATGGTCAGTTGACTCATTTGTTGAATAGTAATTTTCCCCCAGCAATTTGTAGCACTTATTAAATATTAAGTTACTATGTATAGTTAAGTCTTCATACTGTCTATTTTCTTCTGTTGATCTGGTGTTCTTGTGCACGTATTCTCTGTCATAACTACTGTGGATTTACAGCATCTATTAAAATATAGTTAGCCAATTTGGAAATGGCAAATGTATGCTCACTGGATTTATAGAGTCAATGGTTCTAAGTATATTACTCTATGTAATATATTATGGTATATAAGTTAACTATCAAAGTTCAATGATTTTTCAGGTTAGCACTTTATACTCTAGAGAAAAAAAGACAAGTGAAAGATTTTTTTAAAATTGATTTTGACTGATTGCAAGAATAATTTGTGTTTGTGTGTGGGTGTGTTTAATTTTTTCAGTTTTTTTGGGGGTGGTGGGGAGGCAGAAATGATTTAAAGTTTTGGGAAAGTTTTTGTAAGAAATTTTTGTTTATAAAAGTTCATACTTACAAATGTTTTTATTATTCAGACCTCAGGAAATTTTCTGATGGAATTTCAAGTGAAAAATGTTGCTTCAGAAAGAATTGCAACTCAGAAGATACTGTCTGTGATAGGAGAAAGCCTTGACCACTTTGGCCCTGGTTGTGTGGGTGTACAAAAAATATTAAATGCTCGGTGTCCACTTGTGAGGTTCTCACACCAGGCATCTGGATTTCAGTGTGATTTGACTACTAACAATAGGTATGATCTCTTAAGTTTGTCATCTTAAATGTGAATATTGTAAGGTATTAGCATAGTTTTTCTTATATAGAACAGTCAGTGGCTTTGGACTCTTACACATGCTTTAATAATAATTTTTAAAGATTTGAACACTTAGATTGAAAAGTAGGAAATACTTTCTCTTATATGTATTAGTTTTGTGGCATTTCTAAATAAAATGTTAGGATATTGTGTTTAAATGTTGTCCTACCTAACATCATCTGGAAGAACTGTATTTCATTCTTCTTATATAGCCTAATGACAACATGAAAGTACTGATAGTTGTTTAATATACTTATTTCTCTGTAGTTGTTAAATATACTTAGAAAATAAAGTAGCAACTGAGTTTGACCTCTGAATTACTTCTAGATGTAGTCCACCTTTGTATCCTAAACAAATATGTTTGCTTAATCAGAAAGTTGCCTGAGCACCTTAAGACTGCTGAGTTTTTCTTCAGCATATTTTCATTTTCATTTTAGTATCCTAACAATCTATTTGCTTAAAAAGAAATGGGGCAAGAATGACAAGTTCTTTCATACTCTGATTACTTTTTTTTTTTTTTTTGGTTCTCAATAAGAGAAATGTCTTAATTGAGTTTATCTTTTAACTCAGATATTCTCATTGCATGCATTTGATTTCACTACATAAATAATTTTAACTAAAAATGGATTGAGAAAAGCTACTCTAGAACAGTTTGATTAAACTCAGGTGTTCACTAGTAAGACGTTGCTGAGTACTTCTGAGTTTCTCTCAGTCCATGGAGTAAAAATAAGTAAAAACATATACTATGCTTTCTATCGTTATTATATTTTCTTTATAGTATGTAAAAGAGAACAAAATAACATTTATCTTTGTAATAGCATTATTTTCATTGTATTCTTGGGACAAGTTTTTAAAAATTTGTTTTGATATGCTTCAGGTTTTTATCCTCTTGCATTTTCTTTAAATCAGATACCTCACACTATTTGATATTTATTTTTCAGCTTGGTTTAGCTTCATTTACATAGGTAAAACATTTAATCACTGAATTTCTAATTTGCCATTTATTCTATTCACTTTTAAACTCAGGAAGTAAATGCTCTGGTGGTACTTTTGTAGACAGTTTGAAGTTGATACCCTTAAGTGATTTTGTACCCTTTGTTGACTCTTTGAGAAATTACAAGACATATTTTGATCAGCAGGAGCTTAATTTAAAATATTTCTGATTAATAATTCTTTGCATTATAACATTATGACTAAGAAACTTATTGAAAATAGGCTCTGAAGTTTGATTTCTTAAAAGACACTTTATCTTTCTGGACTTTGGTTTTTATAAGTATTAGACTTAACTAATTTTGGCTTATTTTTAAGACATTTATACTTTCTTGATAAAATAAATAAAATGTCAGTCTAACTTGTCTACCAAAGAACTAGATTAACGAAGGTGTGGAACAGGCGCAAAGCCTCTCATTTACAAATGCATCTGTCTTTATTGCTAGTTATTAAAGAGCACTTATGTTGTGTTTCACTTATTTAAATCATAATTAGGAACTTTGATTTAAAAATTTTAAATTTTAAGACTACATCATGATTGTCAACATTTAAGAATATTTTAATGGTAATGAATGTATTTGATGTTCAGCCATTAACATTAAATTTTATATTACAAATATATAATACTTTTGATTATCTGATTGTGGTGTTCTGAATACATTCAGATATAGGAAGATATTAGGATATGTCCTAGGTGTGTGTTTTGTCCTACTCTGGGATCATAATTTGGGGTGTTGAAAATTCTTTTTCTTTTTTTTTTTTTTTTTTTTTTTTCGTCCCTCACTGCTGCCCATGGTGGTTAATTATTAGAGAACCAGAGATGTTCAAGTGGCGTCCCTAGGGCCTGATCATAATTCAGAAATAGAAGAAGTGCTCCTTCCCTGATTACTTGCTCAGCCCTATCTTCGGGATCATAATTTGGGGTGTTGAAAATTCTTTTTCTTTTTTTTTTTTTTTATTATTTTTCTTTTTTTATTTTTCTCTTTTGAAGAATTGCCTTGAAAAGTTCTGAACTCCTTTACATATATGGTGCCGTGGACCCGCGAGTGAGAGCTCTGGTATTCACAATCCGGTGTTGGGCTCGAGCACATTCGTTAACGAGTAGTATTCCTGGTGCTTGGATTACAAATTTCTCCCTTACAATGATGGTCATCTTTTTTCTCCAGAGGAGATCACCCCCTATTCTTCCAACACTAGATTATCTAAAAACCCTAGCAGGTAAGACTTAGAAGCAGTCTATTTCCTCTTTCTGACGTTTTGAATAAATATCATTATCTTGTGTTATCAAAGTCACATGTGTTTGTTTTTTAGTCATATAATTTGTCTTCTGGATTTTTAAAGCCTTGTGAATCTAAAATTTAAGTGTTTTATTTTTTTAATGCCCACCATGAGAACAGACGATTTGCAAAGCTGAGGTCTTTGGAATTTTTTGAGAGTTCTGTCTTATTTGTGTTAGTTGGCAAGGTTCTTTACAACTATCATGAGACAATTGGTGCCTCTTCTTTGGTTGACCAAACTTGGAATAATCTTGGGGTTGGGGGGAGAAGCAAAACATCCCAGATACAGCTTTTGATTGGATACAGCTTCAGAGACGGCTTTCTAAATTTGAACTTTTTCCAGATTTCTATTAGAGATGCTAAAATTATTTGATAATGTTTTAAGATCCTAATTTTTTTTTAGTCTAAAGTCTATAAGCAACCTTAAACAAATTATTTTAAAATTAGTATACTGTTTATATTATAAAAAATTTGAAATTTTGATAAGACTGCTGGAGGTACTAAAGTATTACAATTTTAAATTCTAAAAGGAAGATAATTCAGGGATTATTTATCTATTATTATCTTTGCCTATGTAGCCACAACCCAGTTTTCCAGACTCTTACCCCCCATTCCTCTTCATGTGTTCCATATTCCTGCCGACAACTGATTATTCTCATAACATTTTATCTTAGCTCCTTTGTTCACGCTATTTGTTTTTCTGCCTGGTTCTGTAAATTCTCTCTTCTATGCCACTTTCCGTATTATCCAAATTATAAGTAAGCATTTATTTCCTGTGAACACGGTAAGTGTTGGTACAGCTTGAAATTGAGCTCTAAAAAAGCTCAGTGTGTGATAGGTTAATAGAAAGTAGGAAATTTTCAGGGATAGAGTGGTGATCATGTATCTTTCTCACTTTTGAGGTTGAAATAAAGGAAAACATCCATGTGTATGCTCATCTCATCATTTGGTGTCATTTACTAAATTTTTATTGGTTACTTACTATGTGTCAGGTGTAATTTTTGGGAATATGGACGATGTTCTCAGGTGACTCATAATCTAGTTCAAAGGTAAGATGTACATAAACAGAAAATACGGGTAGATCTTCACCAGTAAGCAACCTGTAAATAGTACTTCCTGCTGTGTGCACTGATGCTTAGTGTTACTCTCATAGAGACCATTTTGGGGAGAAATCATGGAACTCTTGGCGTTCCGAAGCTAAGAGTAGAAGCAGTAAAAAGGACGGATTGAGGCAGATTTATGTTAAGGGCAGGCTACTACTAAAATCTTCATTGCTGTCTCCCATTCTTACAAGTATTTTCTGCCAGAGTCAAGCCCTTGGCATCCCCTGCCTAGAAAAGTTTATACTGCCTTTTTTCCCTTACCTTTATTTGCATCTTACCAATCTGTTCTTAACTAACAGAGTGATTTTCAAAAATTGATATCTAATCGTATAATTCTCTCCCTCAAAATCCTTCGGTAACTTCCTAGTATCTTTTTTTTTTAAAGTTCTGGTAATTATTTTAGAGAAAGAATGGGATTTGTGGACAAATTTAAAGTGACATAAATTTTTATTCCAAATCAATTTTAAAATAAATTTAAATTTATTCATGTTTTATGACATCAATACAGATGAAACCATTTTGAGATTCTTTAATTTTCTACTTCAAAATACCAAATTGGTATTTTTCATGTTTTTAAACATGGTAAGAAAATTTCAGACTGTTTTTTGCAATTTCTTCTCTGGACATAGCACAGTGTAGGTGCGAATTGCTAATAAATGCAAAGATGATTTGATATAATTATTGCTTTTGGATTTTGTATCTTTGGTTTTTGAAGTTTTAGAGATGTCTTACATTTGCTATAAAAGAATTTTGCCTATTTTTTAAAAAAGAAAAAATATATTTTGCTTGCTTGCTTTTTAATAGAAGGCAGCATGAATTTCTGGAACACCTTCCAGCAGTTCTAGGACTTTGTAAACAACTATTGGAACCTAGAGTAAGTTGAAGTCCAAACTTTATAGTGTTCTATGTAGGGCTCCTTGTGATCTTCCTTTCCCTCTTCTCTTACATCCATTCCTGTGTGCAAATCAGGAGTTTCAGCACTCCCGACTCCTCGCTGATCCTCAGATGTTTGTCCTTTTTCACGTCTGTGTGCCTTTGCATGAAATGGTGTTCTCCCTACCTCTTTTTACACAGAGACCCTCTTTAAGATTAATTCAGGAGAGAGAGAGGACAAACCCAGCCCAACATCTCATTTGTTAGGTCTTTTCACTATCCCAGGAGATAGTGCTCTATTGGCTTCCAAGCACCTGGTACACACCTGTGTTGTAACAACTGTTAGGTTGTTATAGTTCCTCTATCTGCAGGCTTTGGCCAGGCTTTTCTAGGGCAGGCTTTGTCTATTCTTTGCATCTACTGTTCCCGTCATAGTATTGGGTCCATAGCAGAAGTTCAGCAAATAGATGTCAGATGAATGGATGAACATTTTAAAGCTGAAGGCTGTTTGTACTGAACATGATGGCAACTTTCATATTTTGATTACTTTTCAATGTCTGTTTCTTTGTGTTTTCTTAAATCTCCACTACTTTGCCCTGTATGTCTCTTTAGAACATTGTTCCCACCCTCAGTTTGTCTTGTATCTCCCAGCCTAGAGATCCTTTCTTTTACCATCTTCAAAGTAAACCTAAAGTTTTCTGTCAGGGAAGAAGAGACCTGGGAGAGTCACCATCAAGCGTCCATTCTCTCATTCAGACCTGGTGCTTCCAATCCACGAGCTGTCAGGAGCTCTGTCTTGTGTATCTGGTTTCTTCTTGACTTTCTTTGCTGCTGTTTTAGGATTCTGTGTTTTCAGTTCTCCTAAATCATTGCTATTTGTCTACCTGTCCTACAACTTAAACATTTTTGATTACACTTATCTCTACTGTTTTCCATCTTTACATTTTTATATTATTTTACTGTCATTTCTGTGGTGTTTTAGGAGGGGGTGAAGACAGATGCTTGTGTTCATTCCACCATCTTTAGCCTGTGCTCTTAACCTCTTAACCAGTCTGTGCACTGCCTCCCAGAGAGGCTGTGTTAGTTGGAGCATATGGCATGGTGGGAGGAGCAGGTAGGTCTTTACCTTGTCAGTTTATTATATAATCCCTTTCTAATTTCTTTCTGCCAATTATAGATAAGCATTCAAAATCAAACATTAATGATTATTGAGATAATTGATTATGTGCCTGCTATATGCTAGACACTTATTGTGAACTATACTAGGAGGGAGAGGCAATAACGAATAGGGCAGTGGCCTTTGTGGTCCCAGGCAGCATTCATACAATCGAAATGCAGTCAGATAAGTGCTAATGGGACAAAAATGATAGCATACCAACTTGGACTTAGGACATGCTTTCAGGTGATGCGGCTTTTGATTTGGTTTTTGAGGAATGGGAGTTTGCCTGCAATATTGTACAGTGGAAGGTAGCTTAGAATAGGTGAGGGATTTTATGGTGGTTGTATATTTATCAATAATTAGGGAAATGATTACCTCACAAGATATAGATACTATTAGAAAAGGGGAATGCTTAACTCTAGTGTGCTGTTAAACTTGTACCAAATTCCATTCTCTCTAGAGTACCGCATTTTAGAAACTACCTGAAGTTTTTGAAAATTCTTAGAGCATTTGTTTGTTTCATAGATGAATCGTTGAAAATAAATGCATAAAAAGGTGATAAGAATGGAAATGGCGTTCTCAGTGAAATATTATTGATCAAAGGTAGTGCCAAGATCTGAGTTACTGAAAGATAAGAACTGTCTACATTTTCATTTATAATTAAAAACTGATTACCTCAAAAAATAGATTAAGAATCAGTTGGTTGTTGATGGATAATTCTAGTAGGCTAAAGTAAATGTAATGTTAATTTCACTGTGGTATAATTAGTCTAAATCTTTTTAAATGGAGTTTTAAACCCTATTAACAATAAATACATATAACACTGACTAATAATAGGAAACATTAACCTATAACTGATTTATTTAATTACAGATTTCTTTTCTGAAGTAGGGAATATCTTTGAAATATAATGTGAAATAATTTTCATTTCTGTTTATATAAGATGCGGAAGATAAATGTATAATAGAAGGCCACAACTGTACATTTATTTGCGACTTGAATAGAATTAAACCTTCAGAAAATGCAGAAACACTAGGTAGGTGTTTTCTTTTTTGTTGTTGTTCCCTTTTGAATTGAAACAAACTTTTCTCTTACTTTTCTTGTTTCCTTTTCTTGCAGAATTACTACTGAAAGAATTTTTTGAATTTTTTGGAAATTTCTCTTTCAATAAAAATTCCATAAATATTCGACAGGTAAATAATATTTTAATATTTGGTAATTAGGTATCTGGTCTCCTACTGTGCTAATATTTAATTAGTTTAGTTTTCAAAGCACTCTAACAGATGTTATTGCATTTCATCTCTGTAGTAATAGATACTGATAAGGAAATCGATGCCTAGAGGAACGGTATAACTTGACCAAGATCAGTCACCTAGTTATATGGAAGAGCAAAATCCAGCTCTTTCAACATCTAATACTATATCCTTCAAAATGTTGAATATACTCTGAAAAGTTGTCTGGAAAGCATAATTTTATGTACAGTTCTTTTAAAACTGGATTTATGTTCCTATGGAAGAAATTGGAATCTTGGTCCCAAAGATTGATTCTAGTGATTCCCTCAATTTGAGCCTCTAAGATTTAATTTATTTAGGTAAATGAATTTATGATTTTGGTTCATCTGAGTAGCTGGAATGATAGATATTTTTCTGAAAAAGAAAACAGAACAGAACCTTGGGCAAAATTTGTTATAAGTGGGGAATACTTGAGATAGCTGTTTGGATTTATCATTTGGACACTTGGTTACAACCCTTATAAGATTGGCTTTATGAAACACATGCCACGTTTCTTTGTGTGTTGTTTCTTCAGTTCTCATTTGTTCATTCTTTCCTAACTCTTATCCTTGCTAATAGAAATTTTGTTTAAAAAAAAAAAAAAGTAGAAAGAAGAGAAAGGGCAGAGACACAAAGCTCTGGAATGCAATCTGATTTGTAATTAGATTCCAGACTAGAAAAAGGTCACCAAACATATGAAATTCTTTATTCTTTTTGTACTCTTACCCCTAGGGCTCAGAGATGATGGGCAGGCAGGAGCCCTGCCGGGCCGTGGCTTGAGAGAAGTTAGGAAATAACAGGTGCTTGCTCACACTGGAGAATCTTGAGCGTTTGTTTTTGTAATTTTTAAGTAATATATGTGATATTGTTTGAAAGAGGAAAAGATTATATAGGCTAAGGGATCACTGCAATTCATGAGTCATGGCTTTAGCTTTTCTTTTTGTTTCCACGAGCTGTCTTAGCTGGCAAAGCCTTATTTAAGTTGGATCTTTAGGAATATTGAAATAGGAAACATTTACTGTTTTAAAATGAATAATGAATAATTCTTTGTTCCTTCTCTGCCTTTCTGACTTTATACGTGGGCAGCATTACTTGCTCTATTTAAGGATTCTAATTTTGTGTGCTTCTGTTCCCGTTGTAACAGATATGTTTTTAGCAAGTCTCAAAAATAAGTGTATCTTCATCTTATTTTCTGCCATTTTTCTTTTTCATTTTTTTTCCTTCCTAGCTCTATCCTGTTAGGTAAAAGTTATTTTAAAAATACTTTTATTGTTTGACTTACTCCAAATACCTCTCATCATCATCATCCATTGCTCATAAACCCAATATATTTTTCTCTAAAGAATACTCTACAGTAGGAAAAAAATCAGAAGTACATACACAAATGCATAATATGCATACATACCTAATCCCCTTAGGAAAGAAATTCTTTACTCTGTAAAGTTAATGCTAGTATTTTATGTGTTTTTTACATTCTATTAAACCAGACTTTTTATATCTGAGCCCTTCATATATGTATGTATTTTTTTCTTCCAT